CATGGCTTGCTCTCAACGATCATAAGAACCCCATAAAATACGTAAATTATGAGGGCTGGGTGACACTAATGTGGTCTCGTCCTTCAAGTGGCCACCTGGAGTCATTCTTTCGTGCAGCCCCAGGTAGTCGAATCTCCGTCTTACCTGTCTTTTCACCGGACAAGTGAAACTGCCATCGTAAGTCATCGGATCGTCACAGAGAGTCACCCATCAATACTTCTTGTCATCAAAAGAAGCTCTTCTTCCTGCTAGTAAGTGTCATCGGCGTGCAACATCACCGCGACTGAGTGATCACACCCGACCCAATTTTACTTGATCAACAACTGTAAGTTAATGCTAAGTCGTTATCTACTAATTTTTTCTTTTTCTTTTCATTCCTTTCCAATTCTAATTCTCCAAAATTCTCCTCTCCGAGGTTTTATCTTGGGATCATTGTAGACAGCCTCTTTTTTATCACTAATAAAAACATTTCTTTATGGCATTAGATGGGGTTCTTTCTCTTTACGTGATCTCCATTTCTGACTCTCGCGCAATCTACCCTAGTGCACCTTAGTTCTTTATCCCATGCAATCCGATCCCATCCTTTCTCCCGGTCTCTACCCCTTGTAATTGGTCACGGTCAGGACAGTCTTTGGGATCACCTTTGTTACTGATTTTCGCCCATTCCATAACCTAGAGATCGCAACATCCCCACCAAGAATAGATTTTCCAAAGTTTGCAGAACTCATAGTTTCTCCTTCTAACTAGTGCTACGTAAAAAGACCGTCACGAGGGTGAACTCATCTCCCAAAAGCAGTGGAATTTCAGTGCACTCAACAGGTTATAAGCCTGAAAGTTTTAAACCAAAAGTACCTCGACATTCAGTGAATATGAAGAATCAAAATGGAATAAAAACAGTGAGTGATCGAGTTTTGGAAAATAATAGTGAAGAAAAAAACGAATTGGAAAAATGCTGAAAAAAAGGAAAAGTCCAAAGAAGTGCGGTCTAAAAGCCTGGGCCTGCCATGAACATTGACCCGGAGACCCGAGTGATTGAAAAGAAGAGAAACTCGGGAGGACGATTGAGCGATAAACAACCCCATAATGCTCAAGGTGATTCCAATATTGTGAATATGAATGGTGAAAAAATATTGTGAAAAAAGTGAAATTAATCTAGTGAGCGCGGAGGATAAAAACTTGTAGATTAATATGCTTGAAGATGGCCTCGATGATATCTTTAATTAAATGACTAGTGAAAATCCAACACCCGCGGGAAAATATGAGGCGAACAAGGACAAAGGAAAGAAAAATCGACTGAAAATCGTGAAAAAGAAACAGGAAAAAGTACGCGCTCGTGAAAATCGTTTAAAAATCGCCAAAAAAAGAGAAACAATTCAGAACTCGCGAGTTTGCAAAAAATCGCCTTGAGGGGTATTCATCGCGACAAATCACCTCGGAGACGTCTGAGTTCGTGTCAGAGACGCAACCATCGATAGAAATCATTCCAGTGACTCCGGAGGCATTCTACGCCCCTGATGGATCCCACGATTTCATGGAAATTACCCCAGCGTCTTCAGAGATGATCAATGCCATCTCCCAAATTTCAGACATAATAGAAATTATCCTAGCAACTCCAGAGATGATAGACCAGGACTCGCAGTTTACGCAGAGAATTGATATAGTTCCGGAGGCACCAGAGACATTTTACAACCACTGATGGCTTCTCGGACATAAATGAAATCATCCCAGAGACACCCGAGGCTGTGAATATATTCTCTCCCACTCCAGAAATGATAGACCCAATGGCGATCATCCCTGCAAGTCCAGAGGCTGCTAATCGCATTTGGGAGACTTTGGAGCCAACCATCCCAATAACTCCAGAGACTCCGTCAATAATTCATTTTGTGCTCGAACACCAAGGGGATGCTGCCCAGCCTAGAACATCACATGAGATGTCTTTAAGCCCTAAAGGTAAATATCTAAGATTTGTGGACATTAATTTTTTTTCTAGTGCAGAGTTTTTTAATCAAAACTTGCATTTTTCTTGTTTTATACTATTCAGAGCTACGAAAGAGCATTGAGGAAATTGAGGCTAAATTAGCAGAGATTGCTACAACCCTGGAAAATCGGGAGCGAGGAGATCAAGTGATTCAAGAAGAAATACAACGCATTCAAGGTATGCCAACTTAGGGCCAGCAGGACCTTGATAAGATTGACATGGAATTGAAGCAGAGCAGCAACCGGCAGCGATTGGCCCGCCAGGCTCTCGATTTTGAACCGTTGTCCCTGAGAATGCTATCGGATTGGAAATTTATTCGTTTTTTTTCATTCTTTCTTTATAATTATTCAACATTTTTGTAATCTTTTGAATAGAGAATAAATACATTTTAGCATAAAAAATGAGTTGCAACTTTCATTTCATGTAGCCTCCAATATTCCCTATCCTATGCCTGAAAGTTTTCCTGCTCGGGGAAGTCAGAGGAAGTTTCACTCTTTTCTTCCTGGTCTTTCACCTGTTTTCTTCCCTTAAACGTCTTTTTCCTCCTTACTGTCCAGAGGGATTGAAGGGTAGATAGTGGGAGGACTTCTGCACCTATATAAGTTGCGAGGTCCCTCCAACCCCCATGTATCACCTCACCCTCCTCAGGAAAAATTTCAGTGCTTTTTCATGTTTTCTTAGTGTTGTGAGATGTTTTGTTTTTCTTTTGTTGTGTTGTCTTATTTTAAAAAAGTTGAAAAATGGTGGTACCCGTTGTCGCTCCAGACACTGTCCACAGGCTAGTCATTACATCGATGATTAGTTCTGTGTTTTTTGTGAAAATCTGGGCGCGTTTTAGTGTCTTTGTTAGCGATTTTTTGCGTGTTTTTTTTGTTCATTTTGTTTGTTTGTCGTCATCTTCTCCTTTGTTTTTTGAAACCCTCTTACGACAAACGCGTGCATGTTCCGTCCGGTTTTTATGCGTTTTTTTGAATTTTTCAATAATTTTTTTCGGTTTTCATCAAAATTTTTGGTCGAAAGTCATTTTTACTCGCGTTCTCTATCGCGATAACTTTTCCGTAAAAGAAAATTCTTGCTCGCGTTTTTTTCATTAAAAAAAAAATTAATTGCTTTTAATATATTTTTTCTGTATTTTTAGATGCAGGAAACGAGAAGGGAGAGGGCCTACCTCAGGGCAGCCAACGAGTGGCTGCTTTGGGAGGACGAGGAGGGCGAAACCCTTGATGGTGACGATATGTTCCTCATCAGAGCCCTCCACGCCAGGGTGGGAAGTTGGCTGTTGGAGGCCGAACATGAGGCCTACATGGTCACAAGTCTCTCTGTCTCTCTTTTTCTCTCTCGCTCGCTCTCTCATCGTCTTCATTTTCTATTCCTTTTTTCCCCCTCTAATAACCCTCCCTTCCTGCCTATCCCTTCTTTCCTTCCTATTAATAGGTTTTCTGTTTTTTTGGTTTCAGTGAGGAGAACGGTGGGAGGGTGGACTCGGGCCGCTCACCCTCAGAGCTCGATGGGTGCGGGCGCTCCGGCGTGAGGCCTAGTGGCTGATGGTCGAAAGCGAGCAAGCTCTCGAGCGCTACGAAATCGAGGATCAATGGGACCTCCAAATCCTCTTCGGGGACGCCCTTCACCACCCCGATTGCACCGAGAATGACTGGGACCTGGAGGAGTGGGAGTAAGACACAGTCGCCACGAAAAAACAAAAACAAATTTTTTTAAATATATTTCCACTTTTAAAAAAATGTAATGTTTGCATTGAATTTTGGATTTGAAAAAAAGGAATTTTTCAGAATTAGTTCTTATAAAAAAAAAAGTTGAATTAATTTCTCTCCTCTCATTTAACACGGAAAAAGAACTTAAAATTTACTTCCCTCCAAAAATAAGTATTTTGGAAAAAAGAAAAAAGTTCACGTTTTTTTATGATATATTTCTTTGTTTGGTTCCCCTAGGGGATACAAAGAACTTCCATTTCCCCACCCCCCCGTACATAAACCTTTTATTTTATTTACTAAATCTATTACTAATAATATAATCTACTATTTAGATTTCTTAGTCCTATAAACGTATAGCTACTATGTACAACTTAACCTACCAAAGCTGAAAGCGAGTGTTGAGTGAGAAAGCAAGTGCGACAGTGAGCATGAGCGTGAGAGAGCGAGTGCAAGAGCGAGTGGCCCCCGCTTCCGGTCTCCGATGTTCCTCTGATTCTTCCAGAGCCTTACTCTCTTTATCCTCCCATATCCCTCCCTGAGACCCTTCCCACAGTACCCTCTCCCTCCCCCACACACACCCGCATATCCACACATCCCCCTTCACTCATTCACTGCAATTACCCCGTCCTACTCCCATTCTATTATCCACCTTTCACCCTCTCCCTTTTCGTCCTGAATCTCACATACTCTGTCCCACACGCTCCTTTCTTCTCCCTCCTCATTTCTGCACACCTCCAAAACATGCGTCCATGTCTCCTCCCTCGCATGACATCTCCTACATCTTTTCCTTTCCTCCTTCTCCCATTCTCTCTCCCCTCTCATTCCTTCCCCTAAGGTATATCTAGCCAATCTGTTCCACCTTTCCTCCCCCCATTCTTTCTCCAGATATTCCGGAATCCCCTCTGATCCTACTCCCTTATACCACCTATTCGAGGTAGACTTCACTATCCTTCCCCATCTTTCTTTTCTCTCCTTCTCCCTATCCATCTCCCTATCCATCCACCCCTTCTCTACACCAAACCGAGCAGCCCCCTCTCCTCCCTGAACCTCCTCCTCTCCTCCTCCCATTTTGAGACCCCCTTCTTGCTCTCCCTTCTCTCTATCGCGCTCAGACAGATCCTGGCGATACTACTTCCCTCCCCCCGTCACAGCTTCTCCTGAAAATTCCACGCCCTATTCGCCGCTCTTGTCCTCAGTTTATCCCTCTTCAATTCCTCCCTAACTAGGTATCCCGACGTCCGCTTTCCTAAACCTAGTACCCATCTCATATACCTCTCCTGCATCCTCTCTACCTTATCTCCTTCCTTCCAACCCTAAATCTCCGCACCGTACCCCACGACCGACCACACCAGCGAATCAAATAGCCAAATCCTCCTCTTCCAGTCCCTCTTGAGTCGTCTTTTCCCCATCCCCCACACCGGCCCCATTAGGTTCCCCGCCTTTTCAATCCTACTCTTCACCTGCTTTTCCTGTCTCCCATTCCTCTGAAACCAATACCCCAGGTAAAAGAATTCCCTTACCTCCTCAACCTCCCTCCCCGTCATCATCCATTTCCATTTCTTCCCCTTTCCACCCCCGAACACCATTACCGTTGATTTCTCCGCATTAATCGTCAACTCCTTCCCCTTCATATATTCTCCCATAAATCCCATCATCAGCCTCATCCCCGCTTCATCCTCCGCTAACACGACCATATCGTCCGCATACGCCAGCGAAAAGATTTTCGTCGCTCCCAGCGGTACTCATCCTTTCCACCTTTTCCTCAGTTCCTCTTCCAGATTCGCCAGCAATACGTTGAATAAAATCGGGCTCAGCGGATACCCTTGCCTAACCCCCCTCGCTGTCCAGAACTTCCCAGATACCCTATCTCCTACACTAACCTTGCTCGCTGTCTCCCTGTAAATCTCCTTCACCCTCTCCGTTAACGCGTCTGAAATCCCTCTGTCCCTTATCACCTCCCATAACACTTTCCTGCTCACCGAGTCAAAAGCCGCCTTCAAATCAATGAAACACGTCACCAACTTTCCCCCTTTCTCCTGCACCTGCCAATTCACCAGATAGTTGAGCATGAAGATATCATCTATCGTGGCCATTCCTCTTCTGAACCCAGTTTGGTTGTCCGGCACAATCCCCTTTTCCTCCATTTCCCTCTCTAATCTCTTTGTCAACACTGACGCATACATCTTGTACAGTGTTTGCATCAGTCCCCCCTGTATTCCTTCACCCTCTTACCCTCCCCTTTCTTTACTATTGGGGCCCGCAGCCGATCTTTCCACTCTGCCAGCCAACCTCCACCCTTCCAGACACCATTACATATCCTCCGCGCTACCCTTTTCTTCCCGTCTCCCCCTTCTTTCCAGATCTCATTTTCTATCTCATCCTCTCCTGTCGCCTTTCCCTCTTTCAGTTTTTTTATCACCACTTCCACTTCCTCGTATGACAAACCGTCCTCTCCCCGTCCCGCTGTTTTGGAGGGGTGGAGGGGATGAAGGAGCCTAATCCTATCCACCCCTCCTACCATTCCCTAACACTCTACATTCTACTCCTCCTAACAGTCTCATAAAATAGTCCTTCGATTCCTCCAACCCGATTCTTTCGTTTACATTCTTGTTTGTTTTCCTCTCCCTATTCACAACCTCCCACACTCTCCCCTCCTCCACTACCCTCCCCACCGCCGCTTCAAACTTTGCCCACTCCTCCTCCTTCTTCCTCAGACATAGCTTATTATAATCCCTTTTCCTAACCCTATACTCATCCCTCGACACTTTCCCTTTCCTCGCCTGCCTCAGAGTCCTTCTCACCTTTTTCTTATTCTCTTGGCACTCCACGTCCCACCAGTCCCCCCAACGCTTCCCTTTCCTTTTCATCTCACTCTCTATCCTACTTTTGATCTCCTTCACCCTTTCCCTTACTTCTTTCACCATCTCATCCACCGAACCCTCCCCCCATTCCACCTTCTCTAATTCTCTTCTCAGTTTTTCTCTCTCCTCTCTCTCCCAGAAAGATACCTTGGGTGACTTCCTACTTTCCTTCGTTCTGGATCCCCCTGCCTTCCTAGACTCCTATCCTTTCACCGTTACCACAAGAGCGAAGTGATCCGAATCACATTCCTCTCCCACCACCATACTTTCCACTATTCCCCTCCCCCTATCGTCCATCAGTACGTAGTCTATGACCGTCCTATTTACTCCTTCCTCTCTTGTGAACTCTCCCTCCTCATCCCCCTTCTGATTCCCATTCAAAATCGTCCACCCCGTTTCATCCAGCGCTTTCAGCAGCATTTTTCCCTCTTTGTATACTTCCCTATCCTCAGACCTTTTTGACTCTCTTCCCCCCCCCCTTCATCATCCTCCACCAGTCCCCCTTCCGTCCCCGTCGCTGCATTAAATTCCCCCTATCATTACTATCTCCTCTCCCTTTCTCTTCATTTCTTTCTCGACCCTCTCCATTTTCCTGTCCATATCCCTATTTTTTTTCCCTCCTCAATCTTATCTTTCCCTCTATCCACCCCTCGGTCTCTTTTCCTTCCTCCTCCACTCCTTCCTACTCTTCTCTGTCGCTTAACTCCTTCCTTATTCCCATCAACATTCCTCCCTTCGCCCTTCCTTTCTTATGATCCCTTGCGGCTAGTTGTACTTTCCACCAGTACCCGTCAGACAGTCTCTTCTCCACCCTCTCCCAGGCTGCTTTTTCAGTCCAAGTCTCCATTAACACCAACAACTCCCCTCTCCTCAGGCTCTCCTAAAAGTTTTTGTCTTTCCTTTCTAATCCCCTCACATTCCAAAACTCCTTCCTTTTTTTCCGTTTCTATCCCGCCCAACCTTCCCTACTGACCATTTGATCCTCCCCACCCCCTGGCTGATCGATCAGCTCGGTCTCCATCCCTCCATTATCTACCTCCTCTGTCCTGTTACCCACCCTTCTCTGATCCCCCCTTCTCACATCCTGCCATTCCTCTCCCCTCTCATTCCATAGTTTCTCCGTTCTTTCATCGATAATCCACCTCTCTCCATCAATCAACATCATTCCCTTTCCCACCCTTACTCTCCTCCGTTTCCTTCTTTCTATCCCTTCTACACGCCCCAGCCTCCACTGCATTCTTTCCATCCAAGTTAAATCGTTATCCAACCTCTCTGGCCGACCCCTCAGTTTCGCCCTACCTTCCATCACCTCCCTTTTCTGACTGGGGTCCTCCAGCTCCACCACTACTGTCCCCCTCCCTTGCCGATCTTTTCCTCCCAGTTTTCTTATTTCCTTCACCCCCACCTCGACCTCCAACACCGTTGTCAGTAGGTCAACAACCTCTTGTCTACCGTCCCCTTCTCCCAGTTCAATCTTTCTCACCACCAAATTCTTAGTTCCCCTCTCCCTTTCCTTTTTTTCCTCCCTTCATTCCAGTTCCCATACTCTTTCCTTCAGTTTCTCATTTTCTTTACACACCTGTCCCCCCCCCTCTCCCCCATCTTCCACTTTTCCCAACTTTAGTTCCCTCACCATTTTCTCCAGAGCTTCCACTTTGTCTGCTTTTGTTTCCAGCGCTTCCAACCTTTCCCTTACCTCCACAACCTCCTCCTTATTTTCTCTCCTAACTTCCACCACTATCTCCCCGAAGTCATTCATTTTCTCCCATAGACGTTTCTTTTCCTCTTCCCACCTGCCTTCCCACTTCTCCCATTTCTCATTCACTATTCTAATCTCCTCCCTGACCCCCCTCCCCTCCTCCTTCAGCTCTTGCAGCTTCGAGAACGTTTCCTCCTTAAAACTCTTGAGAAAACTCTCCATNCGAAGTCATTCATTTTCTCCCATAGACGTTTCTTTTCCTCTTCCCACCTGCCTTCCCACTTCTCCCATTTCTCATTCACTATTCTAATCTCCGCCCTGATCCCCCTCCCCTCCTCCTTCAGCTCTTGCAGCTTCGAGAACGTTTCCTCCTTAAAACTCTCGAGAAAACTCTCCATTCTTTCCACACTCTCCTCATATCCTCCTCTCCTTTCCACCCTTCTTCTTGTTTTTCTCTCCTCCCCGCTGTCTTCCAATTTCACCGACCTTCTCCTCTTACTATCTTCGCTATTCTCCGACCTATTTCCTCACCACCCGAAACCCATCCTTTCCTCCTTCTTCCATGCCTCCAGCGAAGACAGAGATCTAGTTCTCCCCCCAATAGCCCTACCTAGCCTCTCCAAATTCGTGCGTCTCCCTCTCTTTTTCTTCTCCATCTCTGCCCCCCCCCCGCTCCACTCTTTATCAGAAAGGTCCGACAACTCCCGCGAAGGCTCATAAACGGTCTCATTTTGGCCTCCTCCATTATCCTGCTCATTCCCCTTCCCGCTCAAATCTTGCTTATCCTCCTCTCTCGCCCCTCCTTCGTCACCACTACCCGCTCCCCCCTTCCCACTCGCCGGTATCCCCTTCGACCTCGACGACACCACCATTGAGTGGAACAAATGACTCATCTCCCTTCCTTATCCTTCTCACCTGTTCTACCGACCTGTCCGATCGTTAGTTGCCCTTATCACCGCTTCTCTCTACCTANGCTTATCCTCCTCTCTCGCCCCTCCTTCATCACCACTATCCGCTCCCCCCTTCCCACTCGCCGGTATCCCCTTCGACCTCGACGACACCACCATTGAGTGGAACAAATGACTCATCTCCCTTCCTTATCCTTCTCACCTGTTCTACCGACCTGTCCGATCGTTAGTTGCCCTTATCACCGCTTCTCTCTACCTATCGCTACCTTCCCCTTCCCACGCCCTGTCTCCCACCAAAATAACACCTATCCCCCTCCTCCCCTTCGCGCCAAGATCAACCTAACTCTTTCTCCCACGAAGCCACACCTAAATATCCCTCCTCCACCTACTTACACCCCAAACACACTACTTTCACACCACTTCACACACCACTCCTCTCTTCTTCCACCCATTCCCATCCTTTTTCCCATCCAAACAACCTCTAAGCCTCTTCAAAAGAGCAAAAAACCTAAGCACTCCAAATACCTGCCACGCTCTCCTCGCAGACTGGAAACGGAAGTCCTCACGTGTTTTTATTTTGAAAAAAATTCATTAAAAAAAACGTACATTAAAAAAAAATCTTGAATTTATAAAAATTTATATCTACGAAAAAATAACTTACATCTAGCATTGAAAACTTACATATAGTATTGAAAAACTTTGACACCTACTTTACATCTAGAAAAAATCCAAAGGAGGTTTCCTTCGTGTTCATTTTTGAATCGTTGGGTTCAACCATATGGCGTTTTCTCTTATATTCGTAGGGGAAAGTTGAAGCGCCTTCATCATGCCTTCGTTTTGGGTCCGTCGCGCGGATAATTTTGCTCCCCGGTTTCGTGATGACACCATGGTACATCGTCCGTCGTATGTTCTTGTAGTTAATTTGGTAAGGTTCTATCTTATCGACGATGAGGGCTCGAATCGAATCATACTGAATCTGTGTACGCCTCTCGTAATTTAGCCTAACACTTTTTATCGACATACGCGGCAGCGTATCGGCCAAGAAAAGTTTTGACTCCGACTGTACAAACGATCAGGCCGATCGCTGCCGTGTATCTATACACGAAATAACTACGCCCTCCACTACCTCCGAATCATATCCATTAAATAAAATACAAACGTGACGAGCTACATGAAAAATACTCTTAGTTACATTATATATGTAAATTGGCCACAAGCTTCTAATTGATGTAACTATTTTTTTGTTCGAAGCAATATTTAAAAAAATACGCGCATAGCAACGGGTTCACATGACCATTCTCGCATTTCACATCAACTCCTATCATTTTTTTTGTTACGGAGTTGGTAGCAGTGTAATACAACCACACGCACCAAGGAGGGAAGCCCGGGAATCTACAAATTGAATATGGTGCACGAATGATGAATTCCACAGATATTTTTCAATCGAGTTCCGTGCACAAATGAATTCTCGAAGAAGCGAATTCAGTCGGAAAAGCTTGAATAAATAATTAAAAGTCGGTGCAAATAACGACTATGGAATAGAACTATTTGTTTTACTTCGATTGTTAATTGGAAAGATGATTTATCGTGTGAAAAATAAATGAGCGAAATTGATTTGAAAATGAAAAAACTTTACAGGATATAAAATCGATTCCTTGTTTATTTTGAAAAAAATAATGAAATCTCCATAAAAAAAAATGAACACAAATGTTTTT